TGGATCAGGGATTGCGATTTAGCCATCCCCTCCCCCCCCCGGGGGTGATTTCTCGCTTTATGACTCTCTGTCTCTGTCTTTCTGGTGAGCGCACGCACCCTATAGCAAAAATCTCTCAAAAAAAATAAACAAATAAAAATAAAAAACAAAACTCTCTCAAAAAAAAAAAAACCCACAAAAATATTGGCGGACTATCAGGGGGTGAGAAATGAATGATATACCAACAGGGTAGAAGTATAGAAACTATGTTAAGAACAGAAACAGAAAGGAAGAAAATTTATAGTTTGCTAAGTAGGGTACTTCTTCTGTAAATGGTAATGTGATTTGTTTTATAGATCATAATGTCACCACAGATCCCCAAACTACAACAGTATCACTTTAAAATAAAAGAAAGTGGGATTAAAATTAACAGTGGAAAACCTATGACAATAGCACTGGTAATAAAATGAACAGAAAGAGAAAGATGACTACCAGGTTAGAACATGTCTGCTGAGAAGACAAGGTATCTTCTCCTACTGAGGTCTAGACGGAATTAAAAATTAGACTAAATATTGCCTGAGCTTACTTACACTGTCTGAGAATCATGGATAATGGGCCAGCAGATGGCGTAGAAGTTATGTGGCCAGCCACAGTTTCAGTCCCGGAACAGGTGGTTTTAAACTCCCTGCAGACGTGCATGCGTGTGTACCCAAGATTCCAGGAGAACGAATTGTGGCATGGCCATTCCCCACAAGGGATGATTTCTCACTTTCCCTCTCACTGTCATTCTCTCTCTCTCTCTTTCTCTGGTAAGTGCACATACCCTAAGGCAAATAAATAAATAACCTCTAAAAAAAAAAATCATGGATAGTTGGGAGCTGAAAAACCAGTAGGGATAATATTGTGCAGCCTTCCATTTTACACATGGGAAACTGAGATCCAGAGAGGGAAACATGCCAAACACACACACTCTGATGCCACTCGAGTTTTTCCTCCTTTCTACTCTTAATGTCTTTCTCATTATCAATTCAGTAGTCTTTCAAAAAGGCTGACCAAGATCTTAGGAGACAGTTGTTCTCTAATTATTTTAAAATGATAACCACAATTATCAAATTACATTTAACTCCCAGGGTAATAATTAAAGCATCACTTGAACTTTGATGGGTCGGACCAATGGACCTTAGCAAACATAAGCTACTAAATGCTAATCCTACGCAGTCAACCTACTGGGCAGTTGTTGTGGAGTTCCCTGCTCCCCGATGTCCAACGTCCAATGGAGTTCTTGGCTTCCAATACTTGGAAAATGAAGACTTCATGTCACAGTTGTATCCTGGCAATGGCTTAATAATTATATAGTCAACTGTCATGAAAAAAAGGAGAAGGTATAAAGATGAATAAAAGGGCCATTATGAGTGCAATTACATTTAAATATACCTTAAACCAACTTATCAATACCTATCAAACAAAAAATCAAGTCAAAACTGATTCGATGTAAAACGCCTAGAAAACTTTAACAGATATGCTCCTTACGTTGTTACTGTATTAGTAATCTAAAGCAAATTATTAAACTTTACCATTCTCAGACAGTCCATTTCAAACAAAGTAAAATTTTAATTTAACCTTCGCTTACTTGAAATGAGCCCGCTGCTTCTCCAAACTTACCTCTCACTTTGCCTATCGTCTTCCGGGAATTCCTGCTCATGATGGGAAGAGTAAGGATTCCAGCGCTTTTCCCACTCTCTGCGATGGTGGATGACAGGAGACATGCTGTGCCCACGTGCCCGGGAAGGGTATCGCCTTGAACTACGTGTTCACTGAGATCTTCCTGGAAAAATACAGTTTAGAAATTCCAAATTAGTAAACTTCAGTATTTTCAGTTTAAAGGTCAAAAAACTTCCTTAAAATCAACTCAGTCTATGGAGGAAACCTGATAAGAAATATAATCAAACCTATGTCCAGCTTTTTAAATAATAAATAATACATTTCCTTTTAAAATATAAATTAATTCTACTGATTTCTACTGCTGATCTTCTCATTTGTATTAGGTAAATTCACTGCATGGCTAAAAATTTCTAAGCATTTTTTACACTGAAAGTCTAAGACTTTAGTCTGTAGACTATAGTAAATTTTTAACATATACTATATTCTCTAAAAAATGTGTCTACATAGATGGTATACAGAAATAGTTAAGTCTCTATGAAACCAAATTGTCACAGATCTTAGTGTTTAGGTTAAGATCTATTAACTTTTTTGGGAGAGGTTTTTGCCATAGGGCGTGTGCAATCACCATAAAGACAGAGAGAGACAGAGAGACAGAAAGCGAAAAAATCACCCCCCAGAGGGGATGGCCATGCTGCAATCCCTTCTTCTCTGTTCTCCTCTCGGGATCTTGGGCACGCACGCACATGCACTTGGCTTGAGTTTAAGCCATGGGTCTGGGACTCAAACCGTGGTCCACTACATGGGAGTCCAGCGATGTAACCATTACACTATCTGCTGGCCCCAAGATCTTACATTTTTAAGAAATGTAACATTAGAAGAAATACTTTCGAAGTCCAAATAACTCACCCTTTGTCTAAAGGATGTCTAAACTCATTATCAAATTAAACAATTGATTATAATAATTTGTATTATATGTGACAAGTTTCACTAGTAGGTTTAAATTCACCCTGAATTCTATTGTTCTCAAGAAACTGGCTAGGTGGTGCTTCTCAAGGGATGGTCCCTACCCTTAAAGACTTAACCTCTATCCTAGTGGAAATGGGAGTGGAAGCGGCCAAAAATCTTGAGGCTCCAGTCACTATGGAGGTAGGCACACAGCAGTAATGGGAGTGCACGCTGCAATAGTGGAGGTACGTGTTTTTGTTTTTTAAAGAATTACTGACTTATGGGACCAGCAGTTAGCATAATGGTTATGTCGCTGGCCTCCCATGTAGCCAACCGCGGTTCAAGTCCCAGACCCAGTGGCTTAAACTCATGCCAGGTGTGTGTGCATGTGTGCCCAAGATCCTGAGAGGAGAATGGAGGAGAAGGGATTGTGACGTGGCCATCCCCCCAGGGAGTGATTTCTCGCTTTCTATCTCTGTCTTTCTCTGTCTTTCTGGAAAGCGCACGTGCTCTATAGCAAAAACAAAACAAAACAAAAACCTCTCAAAAAAAAAAAAAAAAAAGGAAAAAAAATATTGATTTAATTTTATTTATTATTATGATTATTAATTTGCTATAGGGTACTGTGCTCACCAGAGATAGAGAGTGAGAAAGTGCAAAAGCAAGCCACCAGGTCCTGGATTTGAACTGCTGTCGGCCACATGGGAGTACACTACCTTCACCACCACGCCACATGCTGGCACTGGGAGGTACAAGTGTTTTTGGGAAGCATATGAATAGACAGTGAGCTAGTGCACTCCAGCACTAGCTAGACTGTATCACAAATAGCTCTGTAAAATTAGTAGCATACATTCTGAACAACCTGGTATAAGTTACTGTAACTATTTTATTACTTTTTTTATAATATTAGATACAGTTGCAATCTAAATCCACTGTTACAAAGAATCCTCATAACAATGTGCCTCAATAAAAGCTAAACTTCTTAAAGGAAAAGATTCAATCAGGGCCAACAGGTAGCAGGGTGATTGAGGTGAGAGGATTCCACACGGCCAACAACACAGTTTGAATCCTGAACTCAGCAGTTTAAGGGGCATGCTGGTGTGTGTACCCACAATCTCAAAAGGAGAAATTGAGAAGGGACTGTGGCATGACCATTCCCCGCAGGGGATGCATCTTCACTGGCCCCACCTCAACACCTTTCTGGCAAGCGTATGTAACCTTTGCCAAATTAAAAACAAAAAAACCAATCATGCTAGTATGCCAGGTTGCCCATCAATAGATACTCAGCCTGCCTAGCCTTCCATTCCAGTCTCCTTTGACTCAATTCAGCTATATTTAGACTGTTTAAGGCATACAGGCAGCAAGACATCTGGACTTGATTAAAACACCAACTCCTCTGAAATACGCTTGATTATATCCTTAATAGTACTTAAGCCTGTCAACTTCAAGTTCTTTAAGCCTGCTAAACCACACAGGTAAGCAAACATCTAAAATGTATGAATCGTGCCACCAGGTGGCATGGTGGTTAAGGTGCTGGATCCCACATGATCAACTCCATGGGTTGGATCCCAGACCAGTGGCCTGAGAACATGCTGGGTGTGTGTGAATGTCCAAAATCCCATGAAAAGAATGGAGAAGAGACTGCTGCGTGGCCACCCCTCTGGGGATGATTTCTCACTTCCCTCTCTATTGTCATGTCTCTGGAGAGTCCACACAACCCCTCTGGGGAATGATTTCTCACTTCCCTCTCTATTGTCGTGTCTCTGGAGAGTCCACACACCCTAAGGCAAAAAATCTAACAACAAAAAAAAGTTGTATGAATCATTTATGCAAATTAGACAAAAATAAAAATAACCTCATGCCTGTATTTCCAAAGTGCTACTCAAATGAAAGAAAAAATTAAGACACTGAAGAAACTAAAAGGGGGGTCCTAAAGCAACAAGAAAATGTTCAATCCAAACTTCATGTTTTTGTAATAAAATCCCACAATTTTTTGCTTAGATCCGAACATCTTCACTGAAACAATGACTCACCTCAAAAAAATCGAAGATGAGTTCCAGGTTGTCAGGCTCCATGGTCTGTATGCTATATTCTGTCCAACGATCAGGCTGTAAGCCATACCCACACTCGGGCTGCGAATGCCTGCATTTGAACTCATTGTCACTTATTAAGGAGATCTCTAAGCTGTTGGACATTTTGTGAAGAACAGTGGGAGATACCCTGTCATCATCGTCTTCCTCCAGACCCTCCAATGTCAGCTTTACTCTACATGATAGAAAAATAATGAAATGCAGTTAAGTGGCACAGATTGAGGTGAGAGGATTCCACACGGCCAACAACACAGTTTGAATCCTGAACTCAGCAGTTTAAGGGGCATGCTGGTGTGTGTACCCACAATCTCAAAAGGAGAAATTGAGAAGGGACTGTGGCATGACCATTCCCCGCAGGGGATGCATCTTCACTGGCCCCACCTCAACACCTTTCTGGCAAGCGTATGTAACCTTTGCCAAATTAAAAACAAAAAAACCAATCATGCTAGTATGCCAGGTTGCCCATCAATAGATACTCAGCCTGCCTAGCCTTCCATTCCAGTCTCCTTTGACTCAATTCAGCTATATTTAGACTGTTTAAGGCATACAGGCAGCAAGACATCTGGACTTGATTAAAACACCAACTCCTCTGAAATACGCTTGATTATATCCTTAATAGTACTTAAGCCTGTCAACTTCAAGTTCTTTAAGCCTGCTAAACCACACAGGTAAGCAAACATCTAAAATGTATGAATCGTGCCACCAGGTGGCATGGTGGTTAAGGTGCTGGATCCCACATGATCAACTCCATGGGTTGGATCCCAGACCAGTGGCCTGAGAACATGCTGGGTGTGTGTGAATGTCCAAAATCCCATGAAAAGAATGGAGAAGAGACTGCTGCGTGGCCACCCCTCTGGGGAATGATTTCTCACTTCCCTCTCTATTGTCGTGTCTCTGGAGAGTCCACACACCCTAAGGCAAAAAATCTAACAACAAAAAAAAGTTGTATGAATCATTTATGCAAATTAGACAAAAATAAAAATAACCTCATGCCTGTATTTCCAAAGTGCTACTCAAATGAAAGAAAAAATTAAGACACTGAAGAAACTAAAAGGGGGGTCCTAAAGCAACAAGAAAATGTTCAATCCAAACTTCATGTTTTTGTAATAAAATCCCACAATTTTTTGCTTAGATCCGAACATCTTCACTGAAACAATGACTCACCTCAAAAAAATCGAAGATGAGTTCCAGGTTGTCAGGCTCCATGGTCTGTATGCTATATTCTGTCCAACGATCAGGCTGTAAGCCATACCCACACTCGGGCTGCGAATGCCTGCATTTGAACTCATTGTCACTTATTAAGGAGATCTCTAAGCTGTTGGACATTTTGTGAAGAACAGTGGGAGATACCCTGTCATCATCGTCTTCCTCCAGACCCTCCAATGTCAGCTTTACTCTACATGATAGAAAAATAATGAAATGCAGTTAAGTGGCACAGAAAAAAAACCCATAAAAATATCATCGAAATTCTAAATAAGAAAGTGCTCCTTGAATATGTCAAATCTTTGAACAATAAAAATAATGTATTATACACAACATACATAATTCACAAACTACAGCTTAAGGCATGAGGTTTATTATAGAAAAAACTGATGTTTATATCTACATGTGCTTCTCCCCCCCCAAGAATGATTTATTAAATTCCACGTGCTATTACTATTTTTAATTTGACCAAAGAGAGAAAGAAAGGGAAAGTGAGAAAACAAGCTGCCAGGTCGGGGACTCAGACAGTGGTCAGTCATGTGGGAGTCTAGTGCCTTAATCACCATGTCACCTGCCCGACCCCTACATGTGCTTATACAAAGGATAATGAGATAAATAAATGCCCCCTGGGTCTACTAAGGTTGATTTAGTTCATCCTTTGGGTTTTCATTTATAAATCTAAAGAGGCTTACTATTATTCCATTACAACTGACTATCTCAACTTTTTAGTCTTCAAACAATGAGAAATCCTTTTGAGAGGTTACACAAATGTATATATAACAAACATAAAATTGAACCACATGCTGTCAGTATACATTAAAAGACTATTATGGCTGGGGACCAGCCCGTTAGAGTAATGGTTATATCACTGGACTCCCACGTAGTCGACCGTGGTTCGAGTCCCGGTGGCTTAAAACTCATGCCGGGTGTGTGTGTGTGTGTGCCCAAGATCCTGAGAGGAGAATGGAGGAGAAAAGATTGTGGCGTGGCCATCCCCCCTGGGGGGTGATTTCTTGCTTTCTCTCTCTCTGTCTGGCGAGCATACGTGTCCTATAGCAAAAACCTCTCAAAAAAAAAAAACAAAAAAAAAAACCACACTATTATGGTTGAAAGTTTAAATTGAGGGGCCATCAGGTGGCATAGTGGTTATAGTGCTTAAGGCATTTAACTCCCACCAAGAAGGCCAACCGTGGTTCGAGTCTTGGACCTTGCAGCTTGAAATTCACACTGGGCATGTGTGCATGTGTGCCTGTGTGCCTGTGTGCCCCAAATCCCAAAAGGAGAATGAAGGAGAAGGGACTGTGGCGTGGTCATCACCCCTGGAGAAAGGAGATTCTCGTTTTTCTCTGTCTCTGTCTCTCCAGTAAGTACATGCACCCTCGGGTGAAAATCTCCAAAAAGAAAAAAAAAAAAAAAAAAAGATAGTTTAAATGGAAGATTTTTCCCTTTTTCTCTACCACAGTGAAAGCCCAGGTACTTGGTGAAAAGTACTTTACTAAGAAAAAAAAAATTAAGATATTTATTTGTATGTATATAAGAACTGTTTGTGTATATGTACCTATTCAGTACATTTATATACTTTTAGTAATACTTAATATACTTTTTCTATGAAACACATGAACCAATCGTCTAAAGCTGTTAAAGGCTTCACGGAAATGAAAACAAAGACCAGTTACCCAAGCCATAGGGCCAGAGACTAGTCTACTCCCAATGAGAAGCATTTGCACAGAGCACTTGTAATGCCCCAAAGTAAATTTGATTCTGAAATATTTCTTGCACTGATTGAAATGTATACAGATTAAGAGACATTAATACTAGCCATGTAGGGAGCAATGTTACTGTAAAGAGTAACAATTGAAGTGTAAAAATGTTTCAGTCTAGATTTAAATAAGACCCTGATTTATAATATAAATAATGGAACTGTATCAATGGGACATGTTTATTCTGTATGTCCTGCTGCTTCTTGCCACTGAGGCTTGTTTTACAGCCACATAATTCTGAGGACTCCGGTCAGTGGTCTGTTCCGTGACCCCAGTATAAAATAAAAAGTAGCATTTAAATAACCCAAAATAAAAATGGTCATCTCTTATAAGAAACCAAGCTCTTGTGAATGGTTCTGGATAGGCAATTCTGTTGGTGAGTCTGAAAAAACATTCTCTCTGGATGTATGAACAGGGGCCATGAATGAATAGGCAAGAGAGAGATAGAAGATCTAAAAGGAAAAAAAAAGTTCAAAGGGAAGGACTCTAGAAAAGAACTGGTTCATTTCATTATGTTAAAGGCTTTCTTCAAATAGTTATCTAAATGTTACAGTCTACCATAAAGAGATACTGTCGTGCTTTCCACTTACTGGCAGAGTAAACCATGAAGAGAAATGTTTGTTTAAAACTTGGTGGGGACCAGCAGTTAGCACAATGGCTATGGCGCTGGACTCCCATGTAGTCAACCGTGGTTTGAGTCCCAGACCCGGTGGCTTAAAACTCACGCCGGGCTCGTGTGCATGCATGCCCAAGATCCCAAGAGGAGAATGGAGAAGGGATTGCGGCATGGCCAACCCCCCTGGAGGGTGATTTCTCGCTTTCTGTCTCTATGTTTCTGTCTGTCTGGCGAGCACACGTGCCCTCTCCAAAAAAAAAACAAAAACCTTGGTGATGTGGGACCAGCAGATGGTATAATGTTTTAAGCTGCTGAACTCCCATGTAGTCAACTGTGGGTTGAGGCTCAGACCCAACGGCTTAAAACTCCCGCAAGTCACATATGAGTGAGTGACCAAAATCCCAAGAGAAGAATAGAGAAGGGACTGTGGTGTGGCTATCCCTCCTGGGGGATGATTTCTTGCTTTCTGTCTCTCCTGCCAGCACATGCACCCTATAGCAAAAATCTCTCTTAAGACAAAACTTGGTGGTGAGGAGATGTGTGTCCAGTGTTTTATTTAAAATGTATTTGAAAATGTTGCTAATGTCCTTGCAGATGAATATTCTCCTATCCAAGGAAGGCTTAGTCTACCTACTAATATAAATCAGAGGAAAAAATGATGGTTAAAACAAATACCAATTTCTAGCTATGCACTATTATTTCAACAGGAATTATGTCATTTAATTTGTAGAGTCCAACTAAGTGTGATTATAAGAATATTCTAATTTAAGCTTAAGGAACCATAATTATATACACTCAAGTTGATTTCTACATAAACAAGAATGGCATAGGACCCAGTATTCATCTGAATTCCAATAAGATGCCCAACTATGAATTATCTGTCAGTTTCTTAACTGCAGTTAAAAAAAAAAAAATCCCTCTAATAAGCCTACCAAACAGAACTTTATCTTCAACTACTGTACTACTATCTGCATTTCAAAGTCTTATTCCTCTAGTAAAGCAAATTATAGCTATAACAATTTATATGTGGGACCAGCAGTTGGCATAATGACTATGTTGCTGGATTCCCATGTAGTCAACCACGGTTTGAGTCCCGGACCTGGTGGCTTAAACTCACACCAGGCGCATGTGTGTGTGTGCCCAAGATCCTGAGAGGAGAATGGAGGAGAAGGGATTATGGCATGGCCATCCCCCCGGGGAATGATTTCTCACTTTCTGTCTCTCTGTCTCTGTCTTTCTGGCGAGCACATGTGCCTTATAGCCAAAACCTTTCCAAAAAAAAAAAAAAAATTATTTGCTTCTTTTAAAAATAACACTTAAGTAAAATATTCAGTTACACAGAACTAACTACTTAGAGAACCTCTGAGGTCAATTGGGTTTGGAGATCAACAGTGTGGTCCAACTACCTTGGTTTTTCAGAGGCAAAGTAGAGGTCTAGACAGCCTAAGGCAAAGAGACCACAAATACTGAACCTTCTACTCACTGTCCGGTGGTCAGGTGTGAAGGATTAGGGAGTGCACTGCCCTTTCCCTTCCCCATGACTAAGATGTGTGATTACTATATTTAAGCAGTTATGCTAAAACATTTATTGATTTACAAACTGTATTATTATTATTAGTCTTATTATCACGATGTATTATCAATTATGTCAGTTACTAAAAATGGCCCTTTCAACCTAGCCCTGACATTTTGTCCGAAAAGCTGCATAACATATTAAGACTTGTCAATCCCAAAGTCACAAAAACTCAAATGATAGGGTTGCCTGGGTATATTCAAGTGTACCTTTGAATAAGGTATATACAATGATATTGCAAAAAAAAAAAAAAAAGTTATTTACTAGTTATCCATTTATGCAAAGCTTGACTTTATCTCTACAACTGATACAGGCTTAAAAGAAACTAATCTGGAATTGCACTGCAACATTACGCTATCTTTCTCCATGGAAAATTTTCATTTTCGGGACCAGCAGTTAGCATAACGGCTGTGTCACTGGAATCTCATGGAGTCGACCGTGGTTTAAGTCCCAGACCCGGTGGCTTAAACTTACACCTGTGATGTGTGTGTGAGTGTGCCCAAGATCCCAAGAGGAGAATGGAAAAGGGGTTGTGGCATGGCCATCCTCCCCCGGTGGGTGATTTCTTGCTGTCTCTCTATCTTTCTGGCGAGCACATGTGTCCTATAGCAAAAACCCTAAAAACAAAACAAAACAAAAACACTTCAAGTCCCAGTAAATTTGAAAACACTGAAGATCCTTTTTTTCTGTTTGTGTCATTTTCCCCTCATTTAGCACAAAATAATTCCCATTACCTCAGTTTTAAAACAAACTATTGCTACATTAGCAAGTTTTAAGTGATAGAAAGTTCAAAACTACATAAGCTTAGTAAGCACTTATTTATATAAAAATAAATGTTTCTGGGACCAGCAGATGGCATAATGGCTCCATTGCTGGACTCCCATGTAGTCAACCACAGTTCGAGTTCCAGACCCAGTGGCTTAAACTCACACCAGGTACATGTAAGTATGTGCCCAAGATCTCAAGAGGAGATTGGAGGAGAAGGGATTGCGGCATGGACATGCCCCCTGGGGGGTGATTTCTCACTTTCTGTCCCTGTCTCTGTCTTTCTGGAGAGCGCACGCACCCTATAGCAAAAAGCTCTCGAAAATAAATAAATAAATGTTTCTGGTTCCAAATTCAGAGATTAGCACTAACAAATGTTTGTGTGACACTGGCAATTAGAGGGGAGAAAGCAATTCACTATTAAAAATCCTATACTTCGGGGAACCAGCAGTTAGCGTAATGGCTATGTCACTGGACTCCCACGTAGTCAACCGCGGTTCGTGTCCTGGACCCGGTGGCTTAAAACTCACGCCGGGCACGTGTGCGTGCATGCCCAAGATCCCGAGAGGAGAATGGAGGAGAAGGGATTGAGGCGTGGCCATCCCCCCTGGGGGGTGATTTCTCGCTTTCTGTCTCTATGTCTCTGTCTGTCTGGCGAGTGCACACACCCTATGGTGAAAATCTCTCCAAAAAAAAAAAAAAAACTATACTTCTATGCCAAAATATGACATTACTCATTAGTATGCTATGTTCTTGGTTTATACACTTAAAAAGCTAAAACCAAATGGCTCAGAAATTTACAGCATTAGTAAACAGAAATGGCCTATGGGACCAGTGGTGCAGTGAAGAAATGCAATGCTCTGAGGCAATCTCACAGAGAGGTTCCCAGTTCAAGTCTGGAGCCCTCCCGAGCACAGCAGGCATGCCTGTGTCCACAGTCCAGGGCCGGCTTGGGCCCCGTTGTATCACAGAGAACCTGCTGGGGATGCTGCCCCTCTCTGTGTCATTAAATAAATAAACTTTATAAATAAATAAATAAATGGCCTAATAACGAATATACCCGGTCATACCTAAATCTAGACTTTTTTAACTTTTTCTTAGTTATTGAGACAGGAGGCTTTTCAGAATAATGCAAACGCAATCTTATTTCAGTCTGACACGTCAGCCATCCAGAATCCAGAGTTTCAACACCATCTGGCAGAATAAATACGAAGAGTAGTTATATGGTTTTAGAAACAACCCAGTAAGTGCAATACATATTAACAATGGTACTTCACATTCTGATTTTAAATCACTGAGATTACATAATACTGGTACTTTTCTCCTCAAAGCAAACACACAGGTAGCCTCCAGTTTATTATTTAAAAAGATCTTTCATATGAAGTAGGGGGAAGAAAGTTAAGTGAATATTAATAATCAACTATGCTTTAGCATAAGTAAACAGCAATATTCTCATTGAATCCATTACTGAAGTAATATAGATCTTTTTGGAAAGAGCACGAGTTCCAAGGTGGTGTCTACCCCAGCAATGGTCCCACTGGGGGTCCTGTTACACTCCCACCGAGTCATACACATTTAGCTACAACTACTTATGCCATTAATGCTGGAGACAGGTGATAGGAGAAGGCAAGAAAACAATTGTGGGTCAACTCTATATTCTCACATTTATATACTGTGCCAGAAATAAATTGTGTTATTGTAGTAGCATCATGTTAGTTTAATTTAAAGTTATCTACTAACATAGGTTAAAAAATTTAGTAAGGACCAGAAAAGCTGTCAACTGTTTTAGACCTAAGCCTTTTCATCAACCAGGCTTAAATACAATAAACAAAGAAAAACAGAAAATTTCTTTCCTTAGGTCTAACTTAAGAACCTTTAGTAATAGCCAGATCTGGCCCAGCCTCAGAGGCACGGGTGGTGCACTGCACTACCATGCTGGAAGCCAGTGGCCAACCACAGGTTAGGATCTCCAGCTGGGCAGACCTGAGCCATGCCAGATGCACATGCATGCACCCCAAATCCTGATGAGCTGGAGAGCTGGAGAGAAGGGAGCACAGTGTGACAAGATCCTGTTGACGGTGCTCTTCTCTCTTTTTCCCTTTCTCTCACACATGGAAGGAAAAAAAAAACTGTATTTAAAGAACTGTCATATTTTAAATACTATTTTCAGAAATGGACAAATTAAAAAAAATGGCTTTCTATCTTGAAGGTATATAAAGCTGAGTTCAGGATGATAATAATGAAAAAAATGAGAAAATGTTTATATTTTATGATCATAAACAGAAATTAACACAAAGAGAGGGACATAATGCCATGCATTATAGCTGAAAAAATGAGAAAACCACTCTTCCATAAAAAAAAAAGCCTCTCCAAAATATGAAGTATAAATATTATCTTTTGTATCTAATAAAGAGACTAAGACTCTAACACTGAACACTAAAGCTACTCAGGTATTTTAGACTAGATCCTGATGGAACATACACAATTTCAAACAAAATTAATGAAAATAAGTTAAATTTCTACCCAAATATGGGCAAGGTATGTACATTTCCGATGTGAATGAACATATGCACACAGTAAAACCACAATCATAACACTCAGGCCCTGTTCTTTCCTGCGCTTGACACGAAAACAAACTGGTTATCAGCAATTTATCTCCAGTTCAGCGTCAGCAGAAGCACACATTCCGCCCACCCCCTTTCCACCTCTTACTCCTATTGCACAGTACCTAAAATGAGAACGCAATACAGAAAATGATCCTGAAACACAGAGAATTCAGTCATTTAAGAAAATTTGAATTCTCAGGAATACAGCATTTACTGAAGCAGAAAAAGGTACATAAATGCATATAAATAAGATTTCTACATATTCTGCTATAAATTAATTTTCAAAATCCACCCAGAATTATTAGAACATTCTGGTTAGTCTACATTTTACTGTAAATGCATATACAAACACACGCAAAAATGCATACACTTAGCCTAAGAGTAACACTTCACACTTTATAAATAGTTATAGTCACGAGTGTCATTTCCAAACAGGAGCAATATTAAGGAGATGGTATATATTAATCATTATGTATACTACTTTTAAACTAATTATATAAACTCACATACCTGAGATCACTGATCCAATAAAAGTCAAAAACATAAATTTGTATAGTGTAAGGATAAGTTATTGGGTCATCACAAAAGTCATGAGACATTTTTGCATAGAAAAATACATCATCTGATGACCCAATGGAAACTACTTATTATTTTACAGAATATTTATTTCTTGGGTATAGTCTCTATTTTTAAAAATCTTACTCTATTCTACTTCCTTGTGCTATATATTTCCACTGAAATGTGAGGTAACATCTTAATTACATCAGTAAACATTTTCAAAAATCAGTCTCACTTACTGTGGATTCCAAATTGTCCATCATCAATAACAATTTCACTTTCTAGAATTCAATGAAAATAGAATACTTAGTTAAAATTCATGATGTACATAAAATGAGCAAATAAAAATATTATTCATCTTAAGCATTGCTTAAAATATTAACTGTACAACTTAAAAGCAGCCCCAAGTGAATAAGCATATTTATTGTAGCCCTCAATAAAGAATTACTTTTAAGGAGGCTAGTAAACAGCAGTAGTTCTGAAGGACTTTGGTGACTATTCAAGACATTATAAGGAAGAGAAAGAAAACTCCTCAGAGAGGTGTTGGAGAGGCACCGGGATAAACTTCTACATCCTGCCCCGCCACCACCCATGGATGAGACTAACTGGTTGCTGGACAGTTTGGCACAATTAAAATGCTTATTCTTAGGTAGTACATAGTCTAAATTCATCTAAACATATTCTCCTCAAATCCAACTATCCTCTACAGCCAGCTAAAAGCTTTACAAGCAGCATAAACTTACCTGTGCATAAAGAGCTGCAAGGAACTACCAAAATGAGAAAAAGCACTAGCACATCCCCTCGCCTTACAGAATGTCAACTAAATGAGAAAAGCTGTAAAGCCCCACCCTTATAAGTCAAATACTAATCATCTCCCCTGCCTATTTCCCTTCCCAGTTTAATTTAAACACAACTCCAAAATATGTATTAAAATAAATGTGATAGTTCTAACCAAGATTCTCTGGTAGATTTCACACAGCTTTTAAGTTTAAAAGTTTTATTTCCCCAAAGCATAAAATAAATTTCTTTCTAAAAGAACAGAAACAAAATCATTCCACTTCTCACAATAATGTTTAAATATAAGATGCTTCAAAATACAAACTTTTTAAAATGTTTAATACCTAATAAGTTCCAACCTCAGTATGGGACCATTATAATTCTAAGTACGCTATCATAAAAATTCTAAACACGCTATCAAAAAATGTATTAAAACAAAAAAGAAAATCCAATAAAGAGGATGGAATGAGAGATCTGTTAAAACAATGGTGTCCTTGCTACAGGGTAAAGCAGAAACTCCCACTACTTTCTAATCTCAGACAGTAAAGCAAGCCAGGTATTAATATCTTTCTATTTTAACTTTACCTAGAAATGAAAAGCTTCATTCCTCAGCACTGAGTCAATTTACAGATGATTACAGGTGGGTAATTTAATATATGTGAAAGGAACTTCCAATTCTATATTCGGTATGAAAAAGAGAATTGCCATTTCAGGCACCAGAAAAGTGAGTATTTAAAAAGAAAAAAAAATTCTTTCACTGTCAGCTCTAGGATAGCCAGCAGGAAATTAAAGTAAACTAGGAAGAATACATTTCTATACAAAAAGAAATCTGAATTCATTCTTACAAGTTTTACTCAAGTATTTACTAGCAAAAAAAAAAAAACAGATTAAATAGAATAACATTATATTCCTTTTACTAGTCAAAGTTAAAAATTTTAAAGTCTTCATTTTAGATGGTCAGTCAAGAAGAATGTTGTCAATTTTCAGACTACTCCAAGTGAAAATAGTTATAATAAATTAACCCAAGAAAATAAAAAATAATTAAGCAAGCATTTATAATAATGTTTATAAAGAAAGGCAATTAAGAACTACATAGTTTTGAAAGATCCATAAAAAAATGCTAAGTGAAATTTATAGTCCTGACAATGCATTGACTTTAAACTTTAAGATAAAAATGTATTAAATCCCACTAAGCCATTGTGCAGCATATTCGTAACGTTATGCGTATGCCTCAGACAGATGCAGTTAATGCCCATACCTAAAGGGGTTATTGATCGTGGCTGTAGATGAGTCTCCCACTTGTGAACTATGACTTGACATGGACCACCGATAGTCTGCAATTTAAAAGTTAAACGTCTGCAATAATTTCTTATATCTTATTTTCTACCCATGATTCCATTAGATGTTTGTGGCCTAAGTCTTACACTAAATAGAAGGCCAAGAGATTCGTCTTGTTAATTATCAATATTAGATGACAAAAATCAGGAATGTACCAGGTCACAAAACATGATGAAATGCTGGAAGAAAATGAAAGTGAGGCAGTAATCAAAGAAAAATGAGAAGAACTGGCACACAAAACTGACTTAAATCCATTCCTAAATCTGCCTACAATACTCAATTTTTTCAAAGAAATTTTAATGTTTAATTGATATTAAAATTCTGTTGTAAGTAAACACCAAACATACTGTGGTGTGTCAGCAGTCAATGAGGTATTATGAGATAAAGCATCCACCTCCTATTCTATTTCAGGAAGTCTCCCATTGTCCCCAGAAAGCCTGAACAAGTCTACACGAATGGAACAAGTACTTCCAGATCAGTGATCAGTTACTCGAAGAACTAAAGGTGTAACAAGTTCTTCATTATATTTATTTAAGAAAAGTGGGAAACAAGACCACAACCAGACTTCTCACAGCATAGTAACCAATGTTGCTAAAGAGCTCAGGAAATCCTAAAAGGAAGGACACATGGACAGATAAGTCTGAAAAATAAGTGGCAGAAGGTGAGCTAACATTCACTTTCGTTCTTGTACTTGAGAGTTTATAAATTCATAGTGTGACGATTCCTAATGTTCTCTTTTGCTATCAGGTACCCTTACCACAAATGAGAATAAAGCTATGTGCACTGTGAATAGGGTATAGAAGTAATTCTAAAACGAGAATGAACTGTCACCAAAGATTCCCTGGTATGTCTGAAAGATTGAGGTTTAAAAGCATTCTAGAGCCAGCCAGTGGCATGGTGATTAGGCTACCTGGACTCCACATGACTGACTGCATGGTTCAAATCTTGGACCCAGAAGTTTGAAAAACACATTGGCTACACGTGTGAGCATACAGAAATCCCCAAGGGAGGGAGAAACAGAGAAGGGACTCCTGCAGTATGACCATCCTCTTACTCTTTCTTTGCCCTTCTCTGGGGGAGTACACACACCCTCTGGTAAACAAAAAATAATAATAATAAAAAGGCATTCTGAGACGAGCAGATGGTTTAACAGTTAAGTCGCTGAACTCCCACATAGTTGACCACAGTTTGAGTCCCGGATCTGGCAACTTTGAGACCTATGCCGAGTGCACGCATGTATGTGTGTGCATGCATGGCCAAGACCCTGAGAGGAGAACGGAGGAAAAGGGATTGTAGTGTGGCCATCCCCCTGAGGGGTGATTTCTCGCTTTTTTTCTCACTGACAAACCCATGTGCCCTATAGCAAAAATCTCTCTCCCTCCCCCAAAAAAAAAAAAAAAGATATTCTAATTATCCTTTAATTGAAAAAAAAAGAGCTCAACTAACTCAAATTATATGTCAAAATGAAAAGCTTAAACACACATTTTAAAAGCAAATTTTCAAAGTATAGCTTTATAAGTTAGTTTAACTTTTCTGAAGAAATCAGAGAAGCAAAAAGAAAATTTAAAAATCAGCCATCAAAAAGTAATCAATCACTATTAACAATTTCACGTCCTTTTCTAGGGACAGATGAAAAATACTTCTAAAAAGCCTGGGATATATTGCTTTTCTAAATACAGCATACATCTTTAGATGGCATTAAACACTCTCCTATACATCTTACAGGATTTTAATACTGACTATGCTTTATTTAAATTAATGTGCCAAATGATAAATACCAGATTAGGTACTTTATGAATTAAACACAAAAGCTCATTCTGTCACTTAAAATAATCAGGTGAAGTCCCTTTTTAAAATTTGGCAACTTTTGGGACCAGCAGATGGTGTAATGGCTATGGCGCTGGACTCCCATGTAGTCAACATGGTACAAGTCCTGGACCCAGAGGCTTAAACTCAAGCTGGGCACGTGTGCGTGCATGCACAAGATCTCGAGAAGAGAATGGAGGAGGAGGGACTGCAGTGTGTCCATCCCCTCTACGGGGTGATGTCTCATTTTCTGTCTCTGTCTCTCTAGTGAGCACACGCACCCTGCAGCAAAAACCTCTCCAAAAAAAAAAAAAAGAAAGGAAAAGAAAAAAAAAATTGACAACTTGAAATTTAAAAACAAAAACAGCATTAGATACTCATTCAAATCATTTGAATACCTTCTTGCTATAAAGGTTTACTTACGAACTGGTCAACTGGGTACGTTTTTGTTTAAATTGTAATATTAAACTGCTCATCTTAATATATGGTGAATTTCATTTCCATTATACTAAAAAGAAGATACATTTAATCCTACATCTATCTGCTACATGTTTTGTTTGTTTTTACTGCAATTTATTCCTGATAAACGTTTTCAAACATCAAACTTCCTAATGCTCAAAAGAAATATACACAATAACTGGGAACAATGTCTCTTAGCAATCAACATTAAGTAGCCAGAAAAAAACGAACCTGTTCCCTTCTACTCTTCCCATTGCCCATGTCCCCAACTAATCCCTTTACCTCCAAATACCCTGTTCTCTGCAAAGATGGTTTGGATCTATATTCTTATAAAAATATCTGATCAAAAGTGGATTAAAAACAATGGCATGGATATCATCTTAAATGTTGACAAGACGTACAGAGTGGGCAGAGAAGAGGAAAGGGTTATTTTTCTGTGTTTTAATTTGGTTGTCAGGAAAATTTTATCAAGTGTTATCTGTAATGTTGACATTAGTTGTGTAAAAATAATCCTTTGGATTAAATCTTTGATAGGGAACTTAATTTAGTAGAAATGTTAGCATCTCCACTATCACCTATTTTAGTAACACATTACCCACAGCATAGACAACCTAGAGTTGAATAGTGTATGCAGGAGTCTGAAAGGCCGATCAACAGATGACTTAAAATCCTGTGTGCTGGTATTCACACTACAAGCTCATGTTGGTTGGTACATAAAGTGTTACAGTGTTGGGAAAAAGGAACTTAGTTTTAAAATACACTTAAGTTCCAAAACTGTTAGGACTACTGTATTAAACTTCAGAAAGTAATCATCATTACTGAAGTTCTTTCTAATTAAGGGGGGAAATGTTAAGTCTTGAGAATTGGGAAATTTAGAATCTCAGTGATAATGCCAAAACATGCTTCTTTCTAATAACACTAGCTGTACTACCTCATTCTTCAAGACCTTAGAGCACAGACTCATTCTGCAAAAAGAGGCCACAATTTTAAGCTTTTTTGGAGTAAAGTGGAAAGTGGATCTTTAAAGAAAAAGCTAACAATATCAGTCCAAAGAACTATTCTATTAACAGTACTGGTAAAGGTATTCACAATTTAGCATACAAAAAATATGAACTGCAGAAATGTTTTTAAATATGTATATTAACAAAAATATTTTTTAAAAGTTTCATTAAAAAGTCCTAATCATTGTTTTCCTTTTTTCAAGAATTATTTTATTTAACTTTATTGATTTATTGATTTATTTTAATATGACCAGAGAGGGACAGAGAGCGAGAAAGTGAGAAAGTAAGCTGCCAGATCTGGGACTTGAACCATGGTCAGCCATATGGGAGTCTAGCACCGTTAACCACCACACCACAAGCCAGCCCCAATGACTGCTTTCTTAAGCCATTACTGACATCATTCAGATACATCAAAATTATCCACAACATATAGACTTTTTTTGGGGGGGGGTGTTCCTATAGGGCGCAAAACCATTGTACAAAATGTCAACCTTCTCTGAAAATGCGCTCGCCAGAAAGACAGAAAACAAGAAATGACCCCCCCTCTCGGGGATGGCCACACCACAATCCTCTCTTCTCCATTCTCCTCTCGGGATCTTGGGTATGCACGCACACACGCCTGGCGTGGTCTAGGACTTGAACCATGGTCAACTACATAGCCGTTACACCATCTGCTGATCCCAAGACTGGGGTTTTGTTTTGCTTAATTTAACAAACCAATAGCACAGCTCATCCCGGTCAAGTAATATAATATCTCTGCTTGAAGATACCATAAACTAACTTTTTTTAAAAAAATCAACTGTTTTCTTTACACAATTTTGAAAAAAAAAAAAAAAACTACATATAAAAGTGGGGCTGAGCAATTTTTATCTATGATGTCATTAAAAAGGCCAAACCTACAGTTATTTAAAAATTACTATCTGGGGGACCAGTAGATGGCATGGTGGTTATGTTGTTGGACTCCCACATGGCTCACCATGGTGTGAGTCCAAAACCTGGTGGTTTGAAAATCATGCCAGGCATGTGTACATGCACCCCCATGATCCCATGAGAATGGAGAAGGGACTGTGGCATGGCCACTCCCTCTTGGGGGTGATTTCTCATCTTCCTTTTCACTGTCTGTCTCTCTTTCCAGTGAGCGCGTGCGTTCTATGTAAAAATCCCCACCTCCTCCCCAAATTATTATTTTTAATAAAATCGTTTTTTTTTTTAAATGGCCACCTGGTCATGATTGAAGCAAAGGAAGCCAGGGCAATGGATATCTCTAAGATGGTGCAGATCCCAGGTTAATAGCTGAAAGTATTTAGCATCAGATGTTTACCGTATTATGAAAGCATTATACAAAATGACAACCTTCTCTGAAAATGAAAACTTATCTGCCTATCACAGATGATTCTTTTGTTAAAGACTCTGAACAAAAATCAAGGAGATTAAGATAAAAATAAGAGAGCCTATAATGAATCTAACAGTGAGTGAATATCAGGAACTATAAAAGTTAAAAATGTTGATATATTATGAAAAAATAAAGCTCTATTCTTATAAAAAAAATGAAGGAAAATTTCCAAGAATATAATTAAAAATTGGCTAATATTTTACTATGAAGAAATATCCCTAATTCCAGCCACAAGCAAAAAGGGGATGGACATGGATTTAAAAACATTTAAATTACATGCTAAGTCACACCGCACTTCTGTGTGGACAGCTGTGGTTATGCTGTAGTAACGCAATGCTCTGTGTAACTGAGGCCGTATGAGAAGATCCCAGGTTGGTGCTCCAAGGTCTCCCTATACATACCAGGTATGTGCACATGCCCCAGTCCACTGATTCAGCCATCCATCCCTCCTCCCCTCCCGCCCAAAATAAATGAACTTTGTAAAAAGAAAAAAAAAAAAAAAAAAAAAAAAAAAAAAC